ATATATATATTTCTTCCTTATCACAATCAATTAAAGTATTTTCTTAAAACTATAAAGGTATTATAAAATAATTTACTATAAGTAACCCAAATGGACCACTCCCTCAGATGTGGCAATCCACTCATCTTGAACATCGATGATGAGATACTTTCTTTACTATCACTAGCCATATGTGGGAAAAAAGACTGAAAGTTCACAAGGCGATTTCCTTCTTTAAAAGCTGTGCCATCTGATACAGCATCTGTAAAAAAAAATGTAGCTTCAAAATCAATAAAAGTTTACCATATTCACAATATTTTAAGATATTAACATACAGGATGGGATGAGTATATGGTAAGACATATATCTAAATGTATACACACATGCACATATGTATGAAAACATAAAAAATGAGAAAACAAATTTTCAATAATAATGATATATATATAAGCTATGTATAGCTGAACAAATTCAAATCATTAAATAGTGAAACAGAAGGTTCAGAAGTAAGCTGGAAAAAGATGTATATTAATATTCAGAGGGGGAAGAACCTCACTGTCAATAAGATTCTAAAGATGTATCCAATAGACATGAAAAATATGGCAGTTGGTTAGGAGATTAACCAGCTCCATTAATGGAAACAGTTAGAGCTAGAGGAAGCATTACAATATGTTCTATATTAAGTATATGAAAAAACTTTTAGGCTGCTTATAAAAATAAGTATTAATGTAGTAGTAGAAACAAAACAACAAAGGAAGAACTCCCTAAGCAATTTTTCCATAACCTATATATAGGAAAAAAAACCATTAAGACTTCAATAATAGTTTATCAAGAAGTAGGTGTTCATAGTTAAAAGTATTAACCTTTATTAGTAAGACCTAAAATAGCTACTAATATATTTGTTATTGAATATGGAAAAAAAGATATCAACTGCTATATTTCTATGAAACAGTGCATATTTTATAATTTTTATCTGACACATACTTACGAGAAACAATATTTATAAATATCTCTTCAACTATTTGCATGAAGAAAAATGGCACAGTATACAGTTTTAAGAGCAGAGACAGTAAAAAAATAATCTTAATTTATTTATTTCTTAAGCTAAGTCAATGTAGTTTTGACAGAGATTTTATTAGAGTTTTTTGAATTATAGTGAAATGTATAGTCTAGAAAATGTTTTAATTTAACTCTTAAGCTATGTTACAGAGCTGTAATAAAATCTAAGTCAGAAATAAATTAAGTCAATTCAAGAAGTAAAATAAGTTAAAGCTTTTTCACTTAAAAAGATAAATGGTCAAAAATTTAATGAATGGTTGGACAACTTAGAGCATTTAATCAATGTTCCCATTTTTCTGTTCTTTAGCACTTAATGACATAAATACCATGAAATATCAATAAAACTGAGAGAGCTAAAGGTTTCACACACCATTTCAGAAACACCATAAGGTATAAGGTCCTCAGTGTTTCACTTTGTACTGGATGGATTAAATTATCTGGACTGATTATGTCATTTAAAGAAAGTTATCAAGGCTGGCATTGGCAAAGATAGGCTTAAATTTTTGCTGTTAGGTTAATCTTATTTATCAGCTATTTGCACAAAGAAAACACCAGTTCATGGAAATGATAGAACGGATAGTTTGACTACAAAAATACAATATATTGCACATACCATGTAACTCATTGTGAGAAATTTTTGTAATTTTTTCTCCATGCCCTTTTTCCAAGTATGCTGATAGAGATGGAAATTCCTCCAAAAGTTTGGCACGAAATAAGAAAGCAGATGAAGAAATAAATTCTTGCTCCATTTTTAACTAGTTCTGCACGAGAACAAATTATTAATAAAAAATGTTTATTCCAAGATAAAAATGTAAAAGTATGTACAAAACTAACTTTAAAACATCTTACATCTATATAAAACTTTAATTAGATAATCTTTTGCCAGATCCCAAAATATTCCTCAAATGTAAACAGATGGGAGATTTAATCAATAATAGCTAGTATTATTTGACATTATAACAAATTGAGTTCTATATAACATTAAAGGACAAAAAGGAACCTCCTGGTTTACCTGGGTTGTCCTAGCCTCAAAATTAAACTTAAAAAACAACTCAAAGCTAATCTTTATCATTCAATTACTTATCAAGCTTTATGTTAAACTCTTTTAAATTAACTGCATCCACCACATACAAAGATAACCTGTTTCAAAGGCCAACCATTCTGTTACACAATAAAGCCTTCTTAGATGAAGTTTGCTCCTACCTTCCAAAATTTATATTTATGTCCCCTAGTCTTATCATTCTCACTATCAAATAAAAAAAGATGATGCATCAACACTATCAATTCCCTTAACAATATTAAACACCTCAACCAGATCCCCTCTAATTTTTTTTGTTGTTGTAAGAGAAAGCAAGTTAAGATACTTTAACCTCTTCATCCAAGTAGCCTTCCTCTGAACCCTTCCCACAATCAATGTTCTTTCTGAGGTAAGGCACCCAGTTATGACTGAATACAATACTACAAATGTGGCCTAACCAATGCCATTATAACCTCTTTAAACTTATATTCAATATTTTTTGTAAATAAAACCTAAAATCCTACTTGCCCTGCCACTAGCAACAGTACATTGTTTGGATGGCTTAAGAGACTGATCGACCATAACCCCAAGACCTTTTTTCGCCATAACACTTTTAAGGTTATTCCCATCAAAATCATTCTCATAATTCAAATTGTGATGTCTCACATGCATTACCTTGCAGTTATTATAATTAAAAGCTATTTAACATTTATTCACCTAACTTACTAAATGATCTAAATCCTTTTGTAAGGCAGTAGCATCTTCCTCACAACCAGCAACATGCAAAATTGTAATGTCATTGTAATCTATTTACCATTCCTTCATCTATATTACTGATAAAAATCAACAAGAGCAAAGGTCTTAACACTGAGCCCTGAAGTACCCCACTTGTGACATTAACCTAGATTGACTGAACTCTATTTATGACAACCGTCTGCTTTCTTCCATCTAGCCAGTTTTCTGTGCAATCAGCCAGCTTCTCTCCCACACCTAAAGAAATAACTTTTTAATAAGACTTTTGGGGAACACTTTGTCAAATGCTTTCTGAATATCAACACATACCACATCTACATATGCACCATCATCTAAATAAGCAGTAACCTTTTCAAAGAATGCCATTGCTAATCTAAATTGGCGATATATTTTACATATTTAACTTTATTTGCAACTTGCGCTACATGTACTTATGTTTTTGCATGAATGTGTGTATAAATTATTTTTGGGTAACGAAAATATTAAGCATTTATATCCAATTAATTTGCCAAGTTTTATGCATTTTACAAATCTATTAAAATCTAGAACTTATAAACTGGGTTTTTACAACAGCATTTTCTTTCACAATTTCAGTCTGTATGGTTCCTGCACAGACGTCAAAAAATCACGTGGCCTAGTTTATTTACTCCGCCATATAGGACGTCAAGTGTTTACAAGGTACATTCAATTTAAAGTGGAAAATGACAAATATGTCTTCAAATATTTGATTATTTGATGCCGTAAATCATCTCAGAGGTGCGTATAATGAAAAACATATCGACAAACTGAATAGCCATTGAGTTTCGGATCCCTATCTTTTCCTACAGGCAATGTTTACAATGTTATTGACCAAGATAATGGCTGATTGCGAGAATGTAACATTTAACATTCATTATGAAGACGTTGAATGCAACGCGAAGTTTTGTGCCGTCATGTGCAAGATCTTTATATGCTTATTTTCATTATTTCCTAGCTGTGTTATATTTGTAACTTCAAGTTTAAGATTTTGTATGGTGACATACGATTTGGCAGATGTTAACACTAAATTACGAATATGTTACAATTCTTTACAAAAACTGAATATCAAATAGGTGGTTAGGGCGCTCGACTCATAATCTGGGGGGTCGCGGGTTCGAATCCCCGTCATTCCAAACATACTCGCCCTTTCATCCGTGGGGGCGTTATAATGTGATGGTCAATCCCACTATTCGTTGGTAAAAGAGTAGCCCAAGAGTTGGCGGTGGGTGGTGATGACTAGCTGCCTTCCCTCTAGTCTTACACTACTAAATTAGGGATGGCTAGTGCAGATAGCCCTCGTGTAGCTTTGTGCGAAATTTAAAACAAACAAACAAGCATATCAAAAAGCTAAGAAATAAAGACATGCATAGTTTTATCCATTAGTTTGATCATATTGAAAAAAATAAATTTAAATTTAAACGGAATACACCTGTTCGTTTTTTTAGCGCAAGGCTACAACATGGTTATCTGCGATTTGTCCACATCAAACCCCGAATTTTATTGCTGTAAGTCCGTTAACTTACCGCTAACTCACCATGGGACTACACGAACTACAAACTTTCAGCCGTGGGGGCGTTTTAATGTGTCGGTCAATCCTACCATTCGTTGGTAAAAAAGTAGCCCAAGAGTTGGCGGTGGGTGGGTGCTGATGACTAGCTGCCTTCCCTCTAGTCTTACACTACTAAATTAGGGATGGCTAGCACAGATAGCCCTCGTGTAGCTTTGCGCGAATTTCAAAATAAACTTACGGGAAATGTATATGTCATAAAAATATATTTATTTCTTCCAGTTCTAATTCCGAACATGATAAATCTGGTCGAAGATATGTAGTAATTACACCCTAGGTTTTACCTTCTGT